AATAGAATAGGGAGGAACGTTTAGCAGCCATTTAGGAGCTGATCCCATGAGGGTTGAACCAAAGCCTTTACATATGCAATCTTCCTTCAAGTGCACTGGGATGGGAATGATCTCCATCCTTTCTCGGTATTGTGCTACGTGCTCTTCAGGATCTGTAGTTCCATCATAAGGCTTCATGCTAGGAGTCTGGAAGCGCTTAGGAACTTCAATATCGGCTATCACAGGAGAAAATCTCGAGATCATGTGACTTTTTGGAGATGCTTCTGGTATGGTTTGAAGTACCCCGGGTACGCTTGAGATCATCTGTCTCAACTGCTGAAGTTCCCTAGCCATGTTTGGACTTATTACTTCATCAATATTCATAAAGTTAGTATTAGTAGTATTGTTGTTTAGGAAGTTACTAGAATCAAGGTTTCTAGGAGTATTGAAAGGCTCATCGAGTCATTGATCATAGATGCTCAATTGTTCATAGTCGTCCCCCAGGGTGATGCAGTAGTAGTAGGAGTTGTGTTCCCCTATTGATTTCCTAAGGATCCTGCATTGTCGAAGTTCAGGATCGTTGGTTGTACAACTGTGGGCATCGTTTCCTGGGATCTCTGAAATTCTGCTTTCGTCCTCTCCACTTCTCTTAGTAGTGTTCTATTGTCGTCTTGCTGCTGAGTCATCTGTTGCGTCATTTTCCTCATCATAGCGAAAAGTTCAGCAGTAGTGACCGAAGCAGTCGGATCCTGGAGTCCTGAAGATCCCAAACTTCCTTGGTTAGTGACCGGATGGGTGTTTCTCTTGGAAGTATCAGGCGCTTTCCTTTGACTAGGGGTCTACTCGGAGGAGGTGGTAGGTTTTTGGTTTGAATGGAAGGAGTGGAGGATGAAGAAAGGATCGGTTGTGTAGACATGATCTTTCAAGGATTTTGAACACCACGGCCCCACGGTGGGCGCCAAATTGTTTTGGTCAAAAATTACACAAGTATAAATCAACCAAATTGAATGAGAGGATGTGATGTTCGAATTGTGCAATAGGGAAAGGTAAAGAAAATGACACGATTGTTTACAAGGAAAGCCCTTGATCCTTGCTAGGATCTTCGGCACAAAACCTTGGGAGGTGATAATGATCATCTATCTTGATAATTTTATTAATATAAAATGATGATTACAGAGAGTATTTCAGTAAGAACACGTGAAAAAGTTCGTAGAGTAAGCTAAGAGTAAGTAAAGTGTGTCGTGTGCGAGATATATGTGTCAATTTATAGTCTAAACTAGCTAACAAGATGTCCGATATTCCCGGGATCCTCTATGACCAGATTTCTGAACGTTGTTTGACTTGGTATTCCGGGTCTTTAGCATAGTCGAGACGACTCTCTGTTGAGAATAAGTCTTCTCTTGACTATTTCTGCACATGTGTTAATTAAGAACGAAATATAACCGTTATAAATGTTAGTAAACAATAATAACGGTAATAATCGGGATCCTGAGATAGTTGAGTATCCTGAATATCTGATGAGGTATGAGGATCCTGAATGCTTTGAGGATCCTGACCCTAACAAGTACTAAAAGGTTAACTATATAATTTTATTTCGCGCAACGACGCGGATATTCGCCTGGTTCTAATAAAAAAAAATAGGTTGATTCTTTTTTTACCACGTGTCACCCTATTAAGCCTCCTAATTAATGTCATGTCACATGTCAACCTATTGATTCTCCATTTCAAGTTTCAAATTTTAAATTTCCCACTTTAATTACATTTATTTAAATAACATTAGAATTAAATTTAAAATAAAATTAATATTGATTATAAAGTCACGTATTTATTTAAATCAACGATTATAATTTTATATAACTAACAAATATTTCTTAATTAATAATTTTTTTAAAATAATTGATTAATAATTTTGAGTTTTCTATTCATCCGTAATAAATGAAAATAATTTTGCCAATTTTCATTCTTTTTTACATTATGTCACATGTTATTTTGTGGTAAAATTAAATTAAATTATATTCATGTGTCATTTTGTGGTTTTTTCTATTTAATTAAATTTCATATAATACATAAATGTAATAAATGTAATAATAAATATATATCTAATTAATGCAATTTTCCTTATAATTTTTAAATTTCTAAATTGAATCCAATTATTTTAGTTGTTTATTTATTTAAATTATTAGTTTAAATTTAATAGATTAATAAACACTTTTAATGTATTTACATACAATTGAATCCAATTCATTAAAGCAACTTCCCTTTATGTTTATTTATTTTTTATTTTTGAATAAACTCATATAATATATGCTAAGTAGTTATCGCGGTCAAAAATATAATAGCGGTCGTCGATCGCTATTTGAAATCACGGTTCTCGCGGTAGTATAGCGGTGATATAGCGTTTTTTATATTATTTAGAATTTATATATATATATATATATATATATATATATA